ATTTGGAGGTGGATTATGGATATTTTATTGCCACGTTTATTCCTATTCTACTATGTTTTCTTTAAATTAATCGTGTTATCTGCTTTTTCCACTAAAATAAGTTTTAAGATATCTAATATTAAGTTTTAAAATATCTATTATTAGCGGTGTTGAGTTGTCAAAAGCACCTAATAATAGGCATATTCCGCGTTTTATTTTTTGTTAGGACCGAAATAATCATGTGTCATGCGAAAACTAACAAAACAAATTTTTAACGGCAATAAATCAGATAACAAAAGAGAAGTTTACCAAAAGAGATAAAAATATTTAACGTGGTTCGGTCTATTGACCTAAGTTCACAGGCGAAGATGAGCAATCCACTATATAATAGAGAGTACAAAATATCGATAGAACAACCTCACAAAGAGTCAAACACCACTGGCCAGCTAACATTTGTCCCGAATGTCACGACCCAAAATCTAACTAGTCGTGATGGTACCTAACCCAACCCGTCAGGTAAGCCAATTAACAACTATTCAATTTAATGAGATTTATTAAGAAAAGAAATGATAATACAACTGCTTTTATACAAGAGTTTCCCAATGACTGGCAGTACAAATCATGAGCTTCTAAGATTTAGAATTTACAAAGCTGGTATGAAATAAAGTACATCATCTGTTTGAACTATATAGGAACAGATTAAAATTCTAAAGCTACCAAGATTAAGAGGCAGTTATGACCGGAACGCCGGTACGTCTTCAAATCCAGTTCCCTCCGTGCACATCAACATCAACATCCAATATCTGTACGCAAGGTGCAGAAGTGTAGTATGAGTACAACCGACCATATGTACTCAATAAGTAACAAATCCAACTTTAGGTTGAAAGTAATGACGAGTTGGGACAAGGGTCAGAGTCCAACTCCAATGACCAATAACATCTCATAACAACACAATTTAAAGCAGCACAAGTAATAATTCAATAATAAAATGCTTAGCTCGTATACAATTTCGGAAAATAAATATTTTCTTTTCAAGTATAACAGTAAAACTCAAATCTTTTGTCGAAATCACCAAAAATATGAGTAAGTCTAAAATCTATGATTTTTCTCAAAAACTTTAACGACAGATAAGAAATTCCATTATTAGATGGCATGAGGAAAAATACTTCTCTATGCTTACATATCAAGTATGCGTGTCTAATGCAATGCAACACAATGATGAACTCATGTACTCGCACTCTCAGAATACTCAATCTCACTGTCTCGCATTTTCACTCATCACGCTCAATATTCAGCACACTCAGTCACTCGACACTGTACAGGGAAGATCCAGCCCAAATATAAATGACAACTCGCGCACAGTCACTCAGTATTGTATATGGCCAATTCAGCCCAGGAAAGATCCATCCCAAATATATATATATGTGATAACTGACATGCAGTCACTCAGTACTGTATAGGGCTAATCCAACCCAGAGAAGATCCATCCCTCAATATAAATAATTAAGCATGATCCATGCCCAGAGAAGATACATCCCTCAATATAATATCAATTGCGCTCACTGTGGGTGTGTAGACTCCGGAGAGGCTCCTTCAGCCCAACCGCTATAATAAGCCAAACACATGCATAAATCAATAAAAAAATATATGTTGTGGCATGCAACCCGATCCCATAAATATCACTCACAATCAGTCCTTCGGCCTCACTCAGTCATCAATCTCTCCAGTCTATCGTGCTCACAATGTCATGAAACTAGCCCAAAATGATGATATGATTTATCGATAAATAGCAACAGAGACTGAGATATGATATGCAATGAATGAACATGACTGAGTACGAAAATATAATTTAAACATATAATTCGACAGCAGAAATAACCTCAGCGGGTCCCAATAATACTAGCATTTGCCTAAGCATGATTTCTAACCTGAGTCACAACTCAGTTTCTCTAACACATGAAAAATACAAATCAATTGGCTACATAGCTCTACGGAATCGACCGAGTCTCAATTTCTATGGTGCACGCCCACATGCTCGTCACCTAGTATGTGCGTCACCTCCAAGCAAATCACATAACATGTATAATCAGGGTTCATACCCTCAGCTCCAAGTTTAGAAGTGTTACTTACCTCGAACAAGACAAATCCAATACTGAGCAAGCCGGTCGATGCTTCAAAAATACTATCTCACACGTACCGACCTCCGAACGGTTCGAAACTAGCCAAAAGCAACTCAAATACATCAATTAATGCAAAGGAAACAAACCCAATCGATAAAGGTCGAATCTTTAATCAAAAGCCAAAAATCAACCCAAAAGTCCAACCTGGACCCGCGCCTCGGAACTCGACAAAACTTATAAAATCCGACAACCCATTAAATTACGAGTCCAACCAAACTAGTTTCGCCCAAATCCGACTCTGAATCGATGTTCAAAACTTAAAAATTCATTCTATGAAGTTTTAGACAAAACCCCCAATTTTCTCTTTAAAATTCATTAACCAATTGCCAAAAATGAAGATGGATTAATAAAATAAAATCAAAACCAAGTATAAAACACTTACCCCAATCCTTGTGATGAATTTTGCTTCAAAAATCATCTCAATCCGAGCTCCATAGCTCCAATTATGATAAAATGGCTGAAACCCCCGAAATAGAGTACTTATAATTCTGCCTAGGCATTCCTCTTACGCGAACGCAGAAAACCCATCGCGTTCGCGATGAACAATAATAATCTGCCACCAAAATACTCTACGCATTCGCGGCATAGCCCTTGCGAACGCGATTCACAATAGCTCCACCTTACACGATCACGTAAGCTACTTCGCGAACATGAATGCATACTCCCTAGTCCCAGCTTCTCATCTCTGCCCTATGCGAATGCAGTCATAAGGGCGCGAACGCGATGCCCAGACCTCACAAAGGTTCATGAACGCAATGCCACTGGCGCGAATGCGATGAAGGAAAATTGTTAGCTCCTCTGATACACTTCGCGATCGTGTCCCAATCTTCGCGATCGCGAAGAAGGTTTTGAAAACACCAGCAAACAGTAGCTACCAGCAGTGCCGAAATGAAGGAAAATGATCTGAATACCATCTGAAATACGCCCGAGCCCCTCGGGACCCCGTCCGAACATCCCGACAAGTCCCATATCATAACACGGACTTACTCGAGGCCTCAAATAATGCATAACAACATCAAAACAACAAATTGCACCTCGAATCGAACTTAATGAGCTTTGAACTTTTCAACTTTCACTAATGCCGAAACATATCAAATCAACTCGGAATAAACTCAAATTTTTCACACAAGTCCCAAAATGACATAACGAAGCTATTCTAATTCCCGGAACCACAATCCAAATCCGACATCCTCAAAGTCAACTTCCAATCAAACTTATGAACTTTCCAATCCTTCAAATTTCTAATTTTTACCAATTAGTGCCGAATCCTTCTAGAAATATCCAAATGCAACTCCGGGCATACACCCGAGTCCAAAATCACCATCTGGACCTAATAGAACCATCAAAACTCTGTTTCGAGGTCAAATTCACAAAAATCAAACTTGATCAACTCTTCCAACTTAAAGCTTCAACGATGAAATTCATTCTTCCAAATCGATTCCGAATAACCTGAAAACCAAAACCGACAATTCACACAAGTCATAATACATCATACGGAGCTACTCATGCCCTCAAACTACCGAGCGACGTGCAAAAGCTCAAAATAACTGGTCGGGTCGTCACACCGAAATTCTATCCCTAAAAAAGACTCTCAAATCCCTTATGTCTATATTGTGGATGTTACTAAATGAGAAGAAAAGATCCTCAATTTCTAGAAGTCCAAAATTTTTCTTTCAAGAAAAAGGACTAGCCAAGTATGAAATAATTATAATTTCCTTCTTGTAAAAGGAAAAATTAATTATGGTAAATATGTTGCCCTTCATTAAAGAAATAAGAGAACCAAATATGGTAAAAAAATCAGGACAAACACCTAACAATTATTCGGTATGCGAAGAAAGTCTCACACCGGTAGATGAATAGATTGGGAGCCTATATATAAGGTGTATGGATCTCATAATGGCTTGAGATCTTTTGGGAAAAACCGTGCAGTCTTGGCCCAAATCGGACAATAGCACACCATGTTTAAGAGTTCTACGGGCCGGTTGAGTCCAACAACTGGTAGCAAAGCCCAGGTTCGATGCGACGAGTACGGTGATAGCGAAGTGATGGTGCGCGGCTCGATTTACTTAACCTTATAAATTTGGAGATGCGCACACAAGAAGAATCGAGTTTTGGGCTTCGGTTGCCATAATATACTAACAATGTGGGTGACACACAATGAATCTTGAAAATTAACCCGTGGATCGTGGTAATGAGCCGTGTAAAACTAAGTTCGAGGGGAAGACCCATGGATCGTGGTATGGTAGCTGAAAAGATTGGAAATATACATATAAGGTGTAGGGATCTCTTAATGGTGTGAGACCTTTTGGAAAAAAAACGTGAGGGCTTAAGCCAAAGCGGACATTGGAGAACTAAACTTATTTTTGTAGGGTTGAACTTGTACCACATTCTTCTCTTGTGGTTGTAAAATATTACAAATATCCATTCTTTATCGTTGTGAAAGAAAAACTATTTTCTCATATGCTAAAAGCAAGTTTGCAACTTTGTACGTCAGGAAAAGTGGGATAAGAAAAGTGAAACGGATGAGGGACTAGGGCACGAAAACTCTCTCAGCGCAAGTTTGCTAATGTGCGTCATCCATGGGGAAAAGAGCTCGTGTTCCATCCCAGAAGGCTCTCCTAGCTCAAGCAACAACATCGTAAGGTCAATTTCAGCAGAAAAAAGATGTAATTGAAGTTCAAGTAGTTGAAGAAAGCAGTAAGTCGATGAATGATACGGCACCAGTCACGAAGGAACAGGAAACCAATGGAACAGTAGCATCGTCGGCAAAATCATGGACAGAGGTTATGCAGAGGCCAACACACTAGCCCTAGGCTCTCTTGGACGGAGGAAGTCGAAGCAATGGAGGAAAAGGAGAAGAAGAAATCTGTGTGGGACAACTTTGACATCGGTAAGATTTCAAATGCAGGATATAAAGTAGAATTTATCTCCCCAAAAGTACATGGTGATGCTACAGTGTGTGAAATAGAGATAGAGGACATAAGATCGGAAATAGAATACTGGAAAAATACAGTTGTCTGCTATGTCCTTGGGGCTTTCCCACATTTCAATGTTTTAAATAGTTATGTCCAGAGATTATGGGGGAAGCATGGCATTAACAAAGTTTCAATACTAAGGAATGAAATTGTGTTGGTGAGATTTGACTCAGAAGCGGGGAAGAATAAGGTTATTGAAGGTGGAATATACCATTTTGACAACAAGCCATTCATAGTCAAAGTTTGGACAACAGACATGGAGTTCACGCGTGAGGAGCTATACACAATGCCTATATGGATACGATTACCAGGATTGGATTTTAAATATTGGAGCCCTAAAGGGTTGAGTAAAATAGGAAGTTTAGTAGGGAAACCTCTTATGGTTGATAAGAACACAGAAAAAAAAACTAGGCTTAATTTTGCTCGCATGTTAATTGAGGTGGAAATGGAAGCATAAATGCCAAACAAAGTTTGGTTCAGGAATGAGAAGGGAGCTTTGATTTAACATAAGGTTATGTATGACTGGAAGCCTAGCTTGTGCAAGTTCTGTAACAAGTATGGGCACAATGAGGAAGAGTGTAGAAAGAAGAAGCCAACTGCAGTTCCAACTGAAACAAATCCAACCAAAGAAGGGGAAAAGGAAGTTGAGCAGAAGAATGCTAAGGCACAACAAGCAACTACAACTTCTAGCCTGGCAGGATAGACTAGGAACCAAAAACAGCAACCAGATGAAAGTGTCAAAAGTCCCAAGATAATGGATGGGAAAATGAAAAACAGGTGAATGAAGGATGGATCACACCAATGCATATAAGTAAACAACAAACACACAGCACGCAGCAGGCAACACATTTCAGGTGCTGGAAGAATCAGGGACAAGTAAGCAGTTACAAGATGGCGGGGCTAATACTGTGGGAGGTAGATCTATTCCCAGCATGGGGAACGAATAGTTTACTTTGCTGGAATGTAAGAGGCTTTAATGGGCCTAATAAGCAAAATTATGTTAAACTCCTTTGCAATAAGCAGGAAGCTAGATTGATAGGATTGCTAGAAACCAAAGTAAAAGTCAATAAAATAGATAAGGTAGCAAGTAGTATGTTTGGTGGTTGGACCTACGTAACCAACCAAGATATGCATTACAATGGGAGGGTGTCGCTCACTTGAAGACCATACTACTTTCAGCTTAATGTCCAGAGCAAGATAACTCAAGCAATTACATGTAGAGTGCATCATGTAATTGGGCAAAGATCATTTCTCATTATTGTGGTGTATGCTTTCAATAGTAGGGAGGAAAGAAAAGAGCTCTGGAACTACCTGAATGCTACATATCAAGGGTGTCGTGAACCTTGGATCATCATGGGTGACTTTAATGCAGTGTTGAGAATGGATGACAGAGTAGGATGTCTTCCTATTACTGTAGGGGAAATTAGAGATTTTCATGAGTGTGTAGAAACATGTGGTTTAATTGAAATGCCACAGCATGGGAACAGATACTAACGGAATGACAAAAGTGGAGATCAAAGATTTTTTTCAAAGATTGATTGGTGTTTGTCAACAGGGATTGGCTGGACAGAATGCCTGCATATAATGCTACTTTCTTTCCTGAAGGAGTAAGTGATCACTGCCCAATTAGTGTTCACCTAGTCAATGCTCATTGCCAAGGAAGAGACCTTTTAAGTTTTGTAATATATGGTCACAAACATCCTCACTTCCTGGAGATAGTAAAGGAAGGATGGGAGGGATTTGTTATATTGCAAGTAGTGAGGAAGCTGAAATTAATGAAAAAGAAATTAAAAGGGATTGAAGCAAGGAGATGCCAGAACTATAGTGGATGAAGTCAATGACTTGAGGGAAGAACTACAACAGATACAAAGAGCAGCACAGATGCAACCAACAGACACCACACTCATGCAATTAGAGAAAGAAACATATTAGAAATTTAGGCAGAAATCATACATGACAGAAGTATTGACGCAGCAAATGAGCAAAGCTACGTGGGTGAATCTAGGTGATGACAACCCTAGCTATTTCTATTCAGTAATCAAGCACATAAGACTTCAACAAGCAATCACATAGCTGAGGGACAAACATGGTTAATTTCAATATGAATCCACAATAATTTCCAACATACTTGTGGAATTTTATCAAGAGTTGCTGGGACAGAAAGGCCACAACAGAACAAGAGAATTTAGAAGGTTTTTACTTAATGGAATAGTACTAACAATAGAACAACAGCTACAACTGGTTCAACCATATAATGAAAAGGATGTCAGAAACTCTATGTCCAACATAGATAAGAACAAAATCCCAGGTCCAGATGGATATGGGAGTGAGTTCTTCAGGGCAGCCTGAAGATCATAGGGACAAACACCACTGAAGCTATTTTGAAGTTCTTTGAGAATGGCAAACTACTCACTCAGCTGAATGCTACAATGATCTCTCTAATTCCTAAGATTGAAGCACCACAGGATGCTGGACAGTTCATGCCAATTTCTTGTTGCAATGTGATATACAAGTACATCTCTAAGATGATTTGTAAAAGATTAAGTGTGGTCATCAAATCTATTGTGGCTGAAAACCAGGTTGCATTTGTGGAGAGAAGATCTTTGGTGCACAATGTGTTGATTTGATATGACTTACATGGGCATTATAACAGGAAAACTACATTTAGGTGCTTTATGAAGATAGATCTAAGGAAGGCATATGATATGGTAAGATGGAGTTTATAGAAGAGGCTTTGACTGGCTTTGGATTTCCTGCTGCATTTATCCAGCTAGTAATGACTTGTATATCTTCCACAAGATTTTCTGTCAAGGTAAATATAGTAGGGTACATGTATTTTGAGGGAAAAGAGGTCTAATTCAAGGTGATCCCATGTCCCCTTTGTTATTTGTGTTTTTCATAGAGTATCTAGCAAGAATACTAAAGAGGATGAGTAGCCTACCAGATTTTAAGTTTCATCCTATGTGCAAGAAGACCAAATTGACTCATTTGATATTTGCTGATGATTTAATAATTTTCTGTAAAGGAGACATTAAGTCAGTGAGTAGAGTAAGGGAAACACTTCAACATTTTAGTGAGGTAACTGGGATGGAAGCAAATCTGGATAAGTCTAACCTATTTGTGGCAGGTGTAGATGAGGAACTGAAGAAGCAACTACTTGATATAACAGAGTTCTCCCTGGATCTTTGCCAATAAGATACTTGGGGTTGTCACTGTCCTCAAAGAAGTGGAGCAAAATGGAGTGCCACCAACTGGTTGAAAAGATCACAAGCAGGATAAAAATTGGCTACTCAAGAACCTTATCTTATGCAGGGAGATTACAAATCATTACTGCAATATTGTTCTGTTTATACAACTTTTGGGAAGCAGTTTTCATACTTCCACGGAGTGTTCTAAAGGAAGTTGATAAACAATGGAGAGACTACCTATGGGGAAATAAGGAGGATGGGAGGAAGATTGCTTTAGTCTCTTGGGATAAAGTTTGTGTCCCAAAGAAGTATGGAGGTTTGAATATAAAAAACTGTGCTAAGTGGAATATGGCTTCAGTGGGCAAACTAATATGGCAACTGACCATGAAACAAGTCACTTTATGGATTAGATGGGTGCATGGATTATGTATGAAAGATAGTGAAGATTTTTGGAGTCACACTCCACCACAAGATAGCAGTTGGTATTGGAGGAAATCAAACTCCCTTAAAGCAGAGATGACTCATTGGTACCACAATGGTAGATATTGGTTGACACCTAATGGAAAGTACTCAGTATCAAGCAGCTACCAAGCATTGCTGAACAATGTTCAGAGATGGAAGGAGGCAGACCTGGTGTGGAGCTCTCTATTGTTTCCTAGGAACATGTTCCTTTTGTGGTTAGCAAGTCGGAAGAGATTACTAACGAAGGAAAGGTTGGGCAGATTGCAGATTCAAATAGACTCCACAATGTGTGAGTTATGCTATGACTTAAAGGAGGAAACACAGAGGCATTTGTTCTATGAATGTGGATGGACAACAGAGCTGAGGGACAAGTTGGAAACATGGTCAGGCATTAAGATAGAAGGGAAAGAAGTGTTGCAGTCAATACGGTGGATCAAAAGAAGACATTGAAGGCAGTTCAAAAAAGAGATAGCAGCAACAATTCTTGGAAGTGAGATATATCATGTATGGAAAGCTAGAAAATGAAAACATTTTAAGGCGACAACTGTAAATATAGAGGTCATGATCACACAGATACAAAAGGAACTTCAGGAAAGGATGGAACATAGTAAGAGCTCCAAATGAGCACGTAGGTGTAGTTTTTTACTGCAAAGATTTTGTAATCAGTTGCTTTGGTTCTTTGAGGCTGGAAGAGAATACACCTCATGTTCAGAGGTCGTAGTAACTCCAGTGCTCTTTGGGTGTATTATTTGCTAGTAAAAGTAATATTTCACAAGTTATTACCAAAATAAAAAATAAAAAAATAAAAAAAAATTTGTACGTCAATTTAGTTCATTCGTGTAGCAAAATGAAATTCGCATATTTTCTTGGATGCAGGTGAATGTGATCATAGCATTCCCTCAACTTCTCAAATTGCATAACTAGAGATATAAATAACATGTACAATTTAGTAGTATTCCAAAATGAAAAAATAGAAATACAAATTAAAATTGAATGGATAGACTTTTTCATTTATTTATATTATTTTGTTGTCATTGTGAATTTTTATGTAGGGATATTATTTGAGAAGTTGAGTGGCGTGAATGGATTAAATGCATGCGTATGACAGTATAAAATAAAATAGGATAGACTATTGAAGAGAAATATAAAATTAACACATAAAGTATAAGTTTATCTATATGTAATTAATTTCAATAGACTTTTGTTACATATAAAAAAAAGGAAGAAGAAAAATTGGGGGAAAAAAAGAACCGAAACCCACTGTGATTGCATCTGTTACAAGTCCATAACTCATGGGAGGTCTGTGGATGAAAAATATTTTTTTTTGTGAAGTTAATTTATTGTACTTGGTTGTGTTAAATTTTCAGAATATTTTCCTCAGTGGTAAAATTTTACACCGAGTGAGAAAAATATTTATACGGATTTTATGCTATATGGACATTTTTAGGATCATCATTTATATTTTTATCACCATAAGACGATATCCTACGGATTTTTCTTCTTTTCTTCTTCTTCTCCTCCTCCACTTCCTCCTTTTTCTTCCAATAAATATGAACACACAACTAATTATCTGAATTGATTTGGTTGGAGAAAATTAAAAAAGACTATTGTTGAATTTTTGTTGAGCTTGAAAAAAAATTATCAAAGAAGACAAAATTGGTCATTTGATTTTTGAAGGCTTAGGTAGAATCTTACTATTGAAAATGGTTGGAATTGGTATAAGAGCTTTGTATATCAAATTAAGAATCAATTGAAATTGATTTGGATCAATTTTGAAGCAAAAAACATATTGGTCAATTTCTATACA